CGCCTTTTCCCCACACTTCCGCAGCCGAATTCGATTCGGCAACCAACAGTAAGTGCTCCCTCGATACGGCGCCAAGAAACATAGATTGTTTGCGTATCCAGAGTCGATGAGGTAATATTTACCTGTGGTATGCGTTAGAAGACATTACGTGAATATATTAGTTCCACATTGCTAGCAACAAACGTGTAGTTTTTAAAAACTATGTAAAGACCAAGCCTACACATACCTTCTGGTGGAGTTGGGAAATTTTTTCTCCACGTTTCTATTGCGGATGCGAGCACACGTGCATCATAGGCAGAGCCCTCCCATCCAGCTAACATGTAGGTGAACCTCATGTCAAACGAACAGACCCCTAACACATTTTGAGAGTAGAACCCCTTCCGATTTCTCCATGCTTCAGCATTTGCAGCGGGTGGAACATATGGTACATGAGTACCATCAAGAGTGCCAATACAATTCTACAAAGTAACTAATTACCATAAACAACAACGCAATTCTATATATTTATCAATACGAGTAACAAGTTTAAGGGAAATACCTGAAACCATGGCAGGTACTTGTTTCCATGCGTGGCTATGACAGGATCGATAATGTTGAAGTTTGGTGGTGTAAGAAAGTCAAAACGGAGCTCATATAACGCCGTCAAAATAGCGTGGAAATACTTTGAAATGGTAGCACCAGAATGCTGCCATTGATCTTGTGACTCCCTGTTGTTTGAACTTTGACAAACAATGTATAGGAAAATAAAAAGTTGTTCGTCCACATTCATGTTCTTTGTCGGTCTTAAAAGGCCTTTAAGCTCAAGCAAAGAACTAAGACATCGAAAACAATCACTTCTCATTCTAATTTTGGACCTAATAATGTCCTCATGTCCATCAAGTAGGTATTGGACACGTATTGTACCTGTGAGTACGGAAGTATGCTTTAGTTGAGGCAGTGGTCTTTCCATGTATGTGTAGTAATACCACAAAATAGCTGCTGCTGCCGCAAGCTCATCTTCGTCATCCGAGTCATCTCTATCATTGTTTTAGGTAGCGTAATTTGAGGGCCCTGCATTCCACATTGCTACCTGCGCTAAAGTCATAATACAAGAATATATATAAAATGGTCATCCCATCTGCAAGTAAAGATGAGTACACATAATCCATCAATAAATACTATTGTTCGTAGTATAACTCAACAGCCATGATCAATACAACACCAGCATGGCTGTAGTAGAACAAATTACACAACATATACTCAAATACTAAGTTCAAATCTAAAAATGGCAATTGTTCAGCAACATCTACTCAAATACTAAGTTAAAATATAAAAATGGCAATTGTTCAAATAGATGAATACAAACAATGGTGTAAACCATATTCGTGGAAACTCAAAGCTGGTCCGGACTTCCATCACTGGCAAAATGTCCCGATTGCGATGGAAAGTGAGGCATGTAGTATGGTGTTTGGGGGCCGTGGCATATTGTTCGTGGGTTGTTGGCCAAAGAAGGGTGGCGGTTGCATGTAGTTGGCGGGGTGAGACATGTAGTTGGGAAATGGTGGCTGCATAAACTGTGTCCCCATAGAGGTATGGGGGTTTGAGAAAGGTCCACATGTTTAAGTCCGCAAGGTATTAATTGTTTTTGTCATGAATAAGGTACGCTGACTTTCACTCATGTTCACGAACAGCTTCTGCACATTTGGATACCAAGTAATGGCCTCTAAGAAACTGATTGCGGTGTCGTCATCAATTGCCATTTCCTTAACTATTTCTTGGCAGCAGTCATGGAGATCATCACTAGCCCCAGCCTGATTCGCAGTAGAGCTTTTAGTGCGACTACTGTGTTTGCTTTCTATAGAAGAAACAAGCCGCCCAATTAAGTCCCTCGCTATCGGATCACCTGTTATCCTTCGTGAGGACTTGGTCGATTTCTTGCCGATGGCTTTGGAAGATGAGGCAACGTTGAGACCTCTAGCTGCATTGTTCAAGCCGGCCTGCATGGTGGTAATGAAGCAATCATCGCTACTACCTTCATCAGATGTCGACCCTTCTTCGTCGGCAATGGGGATTGTACCCTCCCCTACATTTGTTGGAGGATCTAATCCCTTCTCAAATGCCCCAGTTGCCCTCGTACCACCAAAGGCCTCATAGTACAAGTCAAAGTTTTTAAGAGGCTGATTCTTAGCCGATTTGGCCCATTTCTTGTTTTAAATGTAAATGAGGAAACAAAATTACCCAAGTGTATGCGAACGCCACAATAACTAACTACCCTTAGAATAGGGAGTTTAGAAATTTACCTTGGCAAATTCTTTCCAATATTCGTCAGTGCACGTCACAGCACCGGTTATGGGGTCCCAGCCAAGTCCTGTGTTATTGCGTAACATAACCTCGTGATCAAACTTGGCTTTGAGACGAACTTTCATCTGTTGGACTTTTGCAGGAGTCACTTGATCCTTAAAAAAGTCTTGCAGTTCTTTCGCCCAATCCTCCCAAGTTTTAGAATCAGGCTTTCGTCCGTTCGCAGTACGATTGTAGGCAGCGAGTCGCATAAGCAACTCCTCTTTTTGCCTTTCAGTCCAGTGAAAAGTGGACTCATCGTCGGTTCTTCCTCTTGGCATCTAATAAGTAAATTATGGGATCAAATGAACTCTAGACCTAAATCCAACTTCATAATGTTATGCAACCAAACAAATGTTTAAATTGATTTTGGGTTCAAACCTACGTAAACTCTCCAACCGAACAGGTTATTAATCAACCTCACAGTCACAAGGAATGGTATCAATGAGAACACAGGCTGATAATTGCCATTACTTAATAGGCACAGCCCGTGAAGAGACAAGCAAAAGCAAAGAAACATATATAGCTAGGACCACTTTGAAGTCAACATATAACTTGGATTGTGAAAAAAACAAAGAACCCGAGGCAGATGGTGAAGGCATGGATCATATTTTCAACGTTCATACCTATAATTTAGAAACTGCGTAATATTACACATGTATGCCAACTGCCATCTATTTCCTTCTAAGCCATAATATACAGGGAAAAGTTACAAACTAGGACCATTGAATACACCAAACTAATGTTAGTTTAATCGGATTGCGAACAATAGATTCAACATAAGCCCATCAACTAGTCTTTGTTTCTGATATGGATATGTGATGTGTTCAAATGCGACAATATAAGCCCATAAAATGCCACAATATGTGATGTGTTCAACAATAGCTTCAACATAAGCACCTGTATACATAATCTTGCGTTTTATTTCAAACTTTCAAGCCCTATTTGGGTTCAAAATTATGTACTAAAAAAGCCTCAAACATCAGCAAATCAATCCTTATTTTGAAAGGAAAAAAATGGAATCTCTTATGCTAATCAATGGCTGAAAAGTTGACAATTCTGCTAACCATTCTGAAAGAGAAGAACAACCTATCTTCCTGTGTACATGCATGAAAACGACATCCAAAAAACAATCATATCTTCCTATAACTAATGTCTATGTTGTTTCTCTACGTGCATGAAAACGACAATCAAACTTCAACCATGCATCTGTGCAAATCACCTTAAGAATTGCAAAACGACATCCAAACGACAATCGGTCACATTGCTCAGAAATGGAAAACGACAATCAAACAAGAGAAAGCCACTCAAAACGACAAGCATCGCCAGGTGCAAGAACAAACATCAATAGCCATATCCATAAGCAATGGAAGAATAATAATCAGTATGGGGAAGGCCTTACCGTGTTTGATCCGGTCGAGGATAACGGTTGATCTGCTTCGACAACGGCCACACGTGACTGTGTTAGACGTCGCTGTGGATAGGGATACCGGCACCGATAACAGAATCCTATGTTCTAGTAAGCACGTCTCGGAGGTCGTAGACGGTGTTTGGCGCTACATCGACTGAAGATCACAGCCAATGGAAGACGCCGTTCCACTCGCGATTCATCGATCTCTCCCGTGTTGAATCTCCGAGGAAGAACGCCGACAACCGAAAAAAGGTCCAAGGGGAAGAAAAGGGGATGCAGCTGTCTGGATTTTGTTCGCCGGGGATGGGTTTTGCAGGAACCCAGGAAAGAACGGCGGAGGATGTCAGATTTTGTTGGCTTCTTGATGGATGGAAGCTTCAAAATTTTCTCGCAGGAACCACCAAGAACGAGACACGGATATGAAGCTCTCTCTTCAAAATGTTCACCGGGGATGGGTATTTGACCGGAGAAGAAATTTTCTCACAGGAACCACCAAGAACGAGACACGGATTTGAGGGGACCTTGGCTTTTCGCAGAGTGGAAGCTTTCTCGTGAGTGGATGCAGAGCAACGTGAAGAAAGGCAAACCAACGGGCAAATGTCAGAAAAAAAAGAATCTATTTATACTGTACACATTAATTCGAGTAGTTGGGAGTTTGAGGGGGAGTGGTATTCCATAACTCGAATTATTATTCCAATTTCAAACTCCAATTCCCAAAAGTGAACGCCAATTTCAGCCCAAATTTCAATTGGAGTTGGGTCATTTCGAGTTTAATATACGAAGTGAACGCACCCTTAATTTTTATTTTGTTACAATTAAAAATTTTTACAAAAAATTACATCTAATTTTTTTATTATAATTAAAATTTTTTATATAAAATTATATTTTAATTTAAATTAAATTGAGCCCGTTTGGTAAAGGGATTCGTTCCCTGATTCGAATCATGATTCGTGGTTCGCTACAGTATTTTCTCTCACAAAAAATACACGTAAATAAAAAATGATTCTAATCACATGGTTCTAATTTATGAATTAAACGGGCTATCAACAAAATGAACGTGGTTTAAAATAAGCCAAGTTAAATCAAAGAAAAGGAAATTTTAGAGCAAAAAAAAAAAAAGGGAATTCACTAGTCAGGATTAAGAACTCTCCCTCTGTACGAGTCTCAAGGCAAATTGGTGAGCTCTCTATTATCTAGAATCATCTAACTCTTTTATTTTAGGAAAACCCAAAGCTCACCCATTTTCTCTCTCATTTTTTTTTGTTAATTTTTTTTAATTTTTTTTTTAATTTTTATTTTGGGTAAGGCCTAAACCCTTTGTAAGAACTCTCTAGAATCGCAAATCCTCCCCCTCCGCTCCGCTAAATAAAAGCCTCTCCCTTTCAGCTTCTGATCACCGCTCTGCTCATTTTCTCTCTCTAGAAAAAGCTTGGTCTGCTTCTAGGGCATCCTCGCTCTCTCTCTCTCTCTCTCTATAGGCTTCTGGAAATGGACGAGGACATCAACCTGAACGCGCCGCCACCGGAGGGAATGGACGAGGGCTTTGATCTGCTGGATGAGTCCCCCATGCTCAAGGTTGGCGAGGAGAAGGAGATCGGAAAGCAGGGCTTGAAGAAGAAGCTTCTCAAGCAAGGCGAAGGCTGGGACACTCCCGAGACTGGCGACGAGGTTGAAGGTAAAGTCTTTGTTTCAAACCAATTCTGAACCTATTTCTTCTGATTTGAGATTGAGTTTTATTTTGATTGTGTTTTGGTCATTTTGTTTGTTTCAGTTCATTACACTGGGACTCTGCTGGATGGGACGCAGTTCGATTCGAGCCGTGATAGGGGGACTCCATTCAAGTTCACTCTCGGACAAGGTGAAGAAAATGTCTTCGTTTTTCTTTTCGCTTATGATTATGATGATTATTGTATACTGTTTGTTTTGGGGTATCGTTTGTTGTGTATAGACTATAGACGATTAGGATATATTGCCACTCTAGTAATGTTGAATCCAATTCAATGTGGAACTTCATGTTTCTTATTTAGAACAAGTAGTGAAACAAAGGAGAATTAGATGTTATGAATTCTTCTGCTTCCTGTTTAATTCTTGCTTGAGCTTTAGCCCTTTCGTATGTTGTTCAGAATTAGAAAGAATGAGGTTGTTTAAATTACATCCTTAACAAGAACCTGCCCGTCAATTAACTTTTTGAGGTAAATTGCCTCTTATGAGGGTGACGTTTGGTATGTTATGGTGCATTGCAGGGCAAGTTATTAAGGGATGGGATGAAGGTATTAAAACTATGAAGAAAGGTGAAAATGCGCTCTTCACCATTCCTCCTGAGCTGGCTTATGGCGAATCTGGATCTCCTCCAACTATTCCTCCCAATGCCACGCTGCAATTTGATGTGGAATTGCTTTCATGGACGAGTGTGAAGGACATATGCAAGGACGGTGGAGTATTCAAGAAGATCCTAACAGAAGGAGAGAAATGGGAAAACCCAAAAGACCCTGATGAAGTGTTAGGTATTGTATGCCTTGCAGTGACTGTTGTTGGCATCCCATAGTTAATGGCTGTTTTCTAATCGTAATTTTCTTCACATTCTTGATGTAGTCAAATTTGAGGCCCGGCTTGAAGATGGAACTGTTGTTGCAAAATCTGACGGAGTTGAATTCACTGTGAAAGAGGGTAAATCTTCGTCCAGTGACGTCTTCAACTTTTAACAGATTTTATCTCTGTACAGATTGATAATTAGTTATTCCTCTTTAACAGGTTACTTCTGTCCTGCATTGTCAAAGGCGGTTAAAACTATGAAGAAGGGAGAGAAGGTGCTTCTGACCGTGAAGCCACAATGTATGTTTTCTATCCACATGGTGCTGTGATGAGTTAATAAGCACTTTCAGCTGTATTTTGTCATTAAATTACTAATTTTCTTTGGGCAGATGGGTTTGGGGATACAGGAAAGCCTGCGACTGCTGGCGAAGGTGCAGTTCCTCCAAACGCTACTCTTGAGATAACGCTAGAGTTGTTGTCATGGAAAACTGTTACAGAAGTAACTGATGACAAGGTCGTTAAAAAGATCTTGAAGGAAGGCGAAGGATATGAGCGTCCAAATGAAGGGGCTGTTGTCAAATGTGAGGGTTGATTTATGATGTCCTATGTCCGTATTTCACCTATCGCACCTGATTGTACAGTTCTCATATGGGCATTTTATTTTTGCATCTTGCAGTGAAGTTAATTGGGAAACTACAGGATGGTACGGTATTTTTAAAGAAAGGACATGAGGAAGGGGAAGAGCTTTTTGAGTTTAAAACAGAAGAAGGTAATGTTGTTGTGGTTTCTTTTCTTTTTTCCTTTCTTTTGTCATTTTATGTCCTAATGTACTGATTTATCTAATGGACAGAACAAGTCATTGATGGGCTCGATACAGCTGTGTTGACAATGAAGAAGGGAGAAGTAGCATTGTTGACCATTGCGCCAGAGTATGCATTTGGTTCATCGGAGTCCCAGCAGGA